CTTAATCCTAATTAATCTATTATCTTTTTCTGTGTACGAGCAACTTAGTTTGGTCTTAACAACAACACTTCTACTTGCCGATTGATCCAAAAGTTCCAGAAGGGGTTGTAGAAGATGTTCTAGTTCAAATAGATCAATTCTATTATTCTGTTGATTTTATTGTTTTGAACACACATCTTGTTTTAAATTTAAATGTACAAATACAGGTCATTTTGAAATGGTATCTTGAAACTCTCTTTTGGAAATATGACCGTCGAAATGAATATTTTTAACAAATGCAAGCAACATGGAGATAAAGACGATTTGCATGAGTAGATTAAAACAATTTGTTGATGATCAGTAATGCACTAACTAGAATTTGAATTTAACAATAATTCTAAAAATTCAAATATAATTTCTTTGTTGAATTATTTTCAGGAGAAAAGACAAGTGATTGGAAATCAAAGTTTAAAAAATTATCACAACAGTATTGTATGGATTTCGAGTGTTTGAATGCTTTGACTCAACTTAAATGTACAAATACAGGTCATTTTGAAATGGTATCTTGAAACTCTCTTTTGGAAATATGACCGTCGAAATGAATATTTTTAACAAATGCAAGCAACATGGAGATAAAGATGATTTTGCATAGATTAAAACAATTTGTTGATGATCAATTTATTTCATCTAATGCACTAACTAGAATTTGAATTTAACGATAATTCTAAAAATTCAAATATAATTTCTTTGTTGAATTATTTTCAGGAGAAAAGACAAGTGATTGGAAATCAAAGTTCAAAAAATTATCACAACAGTATTGTATGGATTTCGAGTGTTTGAATGCGAAAACTCAACTTGAAGCCATTACCAGCTAATCTGAAATAATCATTTTTGGGTAAAGATGAAATTTTTCCGATAATAAATCTTCCCAACTTGATGCGCACCAAGAAGGAAAGATGTTGCAAACTTTGAAAATGGATAAAAATGTTTTAAGATGGACCATAGCTAATATAAAGGGGTAATGAAATCATTAAACTCTTAGATAATGAAATCATTTATCCTATTTCTGATAGTAGATCCAACCCAAGTTGTACCAAAAAAATCTGGTGTTACTGTAGTCAAAAAATGAAGAAAATGGGTTAATTTCAACTAGAACTGTTATTGAAACTAGATAGATATTCTGAGTATAACCAAATTGAAATTGCACCTAAGGACCAAGAAAAGACGACTTTCACATGTCCCTTCGGTACTTATCATAGAATGCATTTTAGCAACATGATTGAAAGATCTTTGGAAGTTTTCATGGATGATTTACTGTTTTTGGGGATTCATTTGATGATTGTTTAACTAACTTGCAAAAAATTTTAGTTAGGTGTGAAGAATCTTTGCTCAACTGGGAAAAATGTCATTTTATGGTCACTAAGGGCATCGTACTTGGTCATATTGTATCACCTAACGGATTTGAGTTAGACAAATCTAAAACTGAATTGATTTCAAATTTGCCTACTCCAAATAGTGTTAAAGAAGTAAAATCTTTTTTTTAGAACATGCTGGTTTTTATAGAAGGTTTATCAAAGACTTTAGTGCCATATCTAAACCATTGTGAATACTCTTATCTAAAGACATGCCTTTTTAATGGACTAAGTCTTGTCTCTTAGCTTTTGTTAAACTTAAGAACATCACTAGTTCTCCTATTATGCAACCTCATTTACCTTTTGAATGAGTGTGATGCTATTGATTTGTGTTGGAGCTGTGTCTTAAGCCAATTAAAACTAGAAGTGCTCAAATGAATTATTCCACCACTAAAAAAGAATTGCTTGCTGTAACATGCTTTGAACAAATTTCGATCATATCTTGTTAACTCACCAGTTGTTATTTTTAGTGATCATGCAGTTTTAAAATATCTTCTCTCTAAGAAAGATGCTAAACCTAGGTTGTTGATTAGGTGGATTAGATTACTCCAAGAATTTGACATCACCATTCGAGAAAAGAACGGAGCCTCAGAATGTTGTAGCTGATCACTTGTTTTACTTGTGATGGATCATTTGAAACAACATCGATCAAGATTGGTAGAGGCAATTCCTTGTAAACACAATGATCACAAAATTGTTTTGAAATTTTTGAAAGAAAATATTTTGTCAAGATTTGGAATACCTCGAGCCATTATAAGCGATGGGGGTTTACATTTCTGTAATAAACCTTATAAGGCCCTAATGAAAAAATATAGGATTACTCATAAAGTGTCGTCCTTATCACCCAAAAACACTAGTGGTCAAGCTGAACTTGCATTAAAAATGCATTTTAGAAAAAACAGTGAATCCAAATAGAAAAGATTGGTCTTTACAATCAACTGATGCTCTTTGGGCTGTAGCTTTCAAAACACCCATTGGTATGTCATGTTATCGACTTATTTTGGGAAGTCTTGTTGAATTGGAACACAAAGCATTTTGGGCTATTAAAATGTTTAATTTCAGTTTAGATGAGACAGGTTCACTTAGGAAACTTCAACTGAATGAGTTGGAAGAAATCAGAAATGAAGCCTATGAGAACTCTCCAATTTACAAGGAAAGAATGAAGGTATTCATGATAAAACATTGTTAGAAAAAATTTTGAGCCTTCCCAAAAAGTTCTTTTCTACAACCCAAAGATTGATATCCTTTCTCATTGTTTTATTTTGTATGTTTGTTTTCAGTTTTATAAACGGTATGTTTATTTTAGGTGTGTCTCTTTTATTGTCATTTTTCTTTTTCTCTCTCTCTAATGAAATTAAAGGTTCATTTAGGCCAAGTTTATGCAGACTCTCCAGGTAAAGTTCAAAACCTGTCCCTTTGTTCAAAATTTTGCTCCTTACTGTCCTTCATACATTTTGCATATTTAATCTTCACATTGAGGACAATGTTTCATTTAAGTTGGGGGAAGAGGAATTAAAAAAAAAAAAGTTCTTGCCGACCGATGATGATATTATTTGAAATTGTTTTTATGTTATGAATTATGTGAATGGGGAGCTTTGATTTAGTTGAAGCTTGTTTATTAACAGATTGATTTACATTGAGCACGATAATTATGAAAATCACATATTGTTTAGGCCAACAATGGATAGAATATGTAGAATTAACTATGAGCCAAAAAAAAAAAAAAAAATTCCTACTAAACCAACTCTAGGATAGTTTGGGATGGTTGAGCAACAGTAGGGAGACAATTGAGATAGTTGTGGATTCCATGTGTTTTAAATTTTGTGTGGATTAACCAATAAGATGACAATTAGGTGAAAATCTTGATTTAAATATCGATTTTCGAGAATAAGTGTTTTAATGAGGAATGACACTAATAATAGAAGGGAAAAAGCTGTCATGTTGTGAAGCTAAAAAGAGCCCAATGAGGACAATTATATATATAAAAAGAGCCCAATGAGGACAATTATATATATAAAAAGAGATTAGACTAGTGCATGAAACAGAATACGCAAGACAAACTTGAAAAAAACAGGTGCATAACATAATACGCACGACAAACTTGAAAAAAAAAGGTGCATGAAACAGAACCCACTACATGCCTTGATTAAGTTATCCCAAAATAAGGGTTTAGTAATTTAGTTGATTCTTGGAGGTTGAATCAGTCAAAATTAAGGAGAATCGTGATTTATTGATGTGTTGAGCTACAATAAATCATAAAATCAAGTTTGGGGTGCATCGTGGCCACGAGAGAAAAGAGAAATAGTTGACCATTGAGGGTCGGGATGTGTCCAATTTGAAAAAGGTATGTGATTGAATTGTTTATGCGCACACACACGTTGGCCATTGACCGATTGGTCAAATGCAAGCTATTTCATTAGAACTATTTTTGAATTTTTATTGCTATAGTCTAGCAATATCTTGGTTGAGAAGTGTGATTAGTGTCTAAAAGTGCTTCAAAGATATATTTACCCTTTTACATTCAATTTGTTAGAATTCACTAATGCTAATCTCTATTTTCAATTCTCTTGGCATAAATTCAATTTTCATTTTACATGATTAAAAATGAAATTAATCGAAATACTTTGAATGAGTATTTATTTGATGTTACATGTATTTCTAAGGTAGAACAAGTGGAGCAAGTGGAAAGAAAATGTGGAAAGGTCAATAATAGTGAACTATCTCAAAGTCCAACTTGTTGGCTCCTTACATCTTTTCTTTCTACCTGTGTAGTACTCATTGTTTTTGTCATATCTGGAGTTACAGAAATCCAATGAACCTGAATTCAAAAATTGGCACCAAATTGCATATTCCAACTATCTTGAAACTGGACAGAAACAAGTTGCATTGTCCACTTGCATTTTGAATATTCCTTTGAAGGGGATTTTGGCCAAAATTTTGAGAGCATCAATTCCTCTTCATCATATTCTAGTTTCCTTCATTTTCTTTTTAGATTATATATTTCTAAACCATTCTTTCACTTCAATGTTCATCTTATTACTTGGTTGAAGTATATGTTCTACAAATGATTTTGGTTTGTTAAATACTTTGATTTATTGTTGACAAATTTTGGCACATTTATGCTTAGACAATCTCTACATACTAACAACTTATCTTGACATATTCTCTCAAACAATTTATCAAAATCTATCTTTAAATACATTTGCGATCAATGTTTTATCTTCTATAGGAGATCACTACTTAGTTTTGATTTCTATACGAGTTAAATAAAATATCAAGAACAATTCCTACCATTTAGCCGAAGTGAATCCCCCAACGCTCTAGTGTTCTTCTCCATCGTCAATACTCATAGACTAGTTTATTTCCTTCCAATTCCCAATGGTTTGACATCCGACTTCCAAGTTTACTACTTGCGGTGCACTTGGGTTTGCAACCTAACTTCACAATTCTGATAAAACACAAAGCTACTAGGCCACAAGGGTAAAAAAGTCTGTAAGGGTTGTCTAACTTCTAGGGCAAAAGAAATCCATGAACTCAACAATAGTGCAAAATAAGGAAATCTTAGAATTTCCAAAACAATCAGTGTATTTTTTAATTTATAATGCTTACCTTGAAAGGTGGAGTATATGTTAGAGATCTGATGTAGTCATTTGGCAGAAAGAGAGTCCAGCATTACCTTAGTAAATATTACCTAGGTGAAAACAATTCTCAGAATTGTTAAGGCTATAAAAGCAACATAAGTGAATACGGCGCCAAAATTATTAATATCAAGTTACAGGAAAGTCATTAAGAATATTCAACAGTGGAAGTAACAATGTAACTTGACTTCTTAACAGAAATTATGTATAGATACGAAATGTTGCTCCAAAAAAAAAAGGGTACTATAGAGCATCTATCTGAAAACAGGTAAGTTTTGTACTTCATGGAATTATGGGCTGCCTGAATGGAAGTAGAAACCTAATAATTAAACCCCTAATTGTGAAAGGAGCCCTTGCTGGAAAATAAATCAAATGCTGTTGTATTTAGATAAAGTAGTTCTGCAATGATTTTTTATTTTATTTTAAATGGGATTCTGCAATGAAATGTTTACGCTGTCAACAACAGATACCATCTGAAAACATCTTCAATTCTAGCCAGATGAAGATGTATATTACCCCAAAATATAATGTTTTTTAAACTAGGAAAATAAATCAAATGCTGTTGTATTTAGATAAAGTAGTTCTGCAATGATTTTTTATTTTATTTTAAAACAGAGGTGTTGCCACAGTGGAAATTCAATTGAACCTTATGTGGCTCTGCATTCGACTCCAAGAATGAAGCACCTTACCAATAATTGTAAAAGCAATAACTGTGCAAGAGAAGAATGAGTTTGTGTGCAAGAATTAGGGTGGGATGTAGAGTCCACCAGACCATGGAAAATATTTTCAGTACCTACGGCCTCCAGCAGCAGAAGCTGTGTTCACTCTCACTCCAAGAATCCCATGCTCTTTGTGGTGTAACAATAAAAAATAAATAAATAAACTCTGCGCATAGAATAACATGAGAAGATTGAAATTGTGTGCAGTTAAGGTAGAGGGTGTAGAGTCCACCAGACCATTGAAAATATTTTCAGTATATGAACGGCCTCCAGCAGCAGAAGCTGTGTTCACTCTCATTCCAAGAATCCCTTTCTCTTTGTGGTGTAACAATCAAAAAAGTCATTTTATCATCCTTAAAGAATCTCTGTCTGCACATGGAATACCAACGCCCCGAAGGCTCTTGTACAGTCATACCTAAAATATTAACCCAATTCACCAGAGGAAAGATGCAAATCTGAACAAGTGTATTAGCAAACAGACCGAAATAGATGGACAGCATGACTTGTTAGAAAGACAGACAGGACAAACTCCTTCAGAAAGGCCAAAATATCAGGAAGCAAACACACAGAAACTTAGACATTAGTATTCCTATCACGCACTGCCCTTTTCATGTCAATCTGTCAGGCATATGCATCAAAGTGCTGAGGCATTATATATAAAAAAAAAGATGTCAAAAAGTATACAGTTCGTTCATGTAGAGCAGATATTGGAACAGGTTGAAAGAAATCACCATTGCAAATGTAGCTGCAGTTAACAAAGAATACCCCTTCGTGCTACCCTACAAAATGACCAATCCATCTGAACTCCCCTAAAAGACAAACTGGGACCGCTGAGAACATGAAAAATAAAGACCAGACAAAATCTTCGTCCTTAACAAAACAATTCTTCACCTACGCTGTAACACCACTTTCCAGTAAACAACTGCCCATTAATTTTTACGAGGGAAGTCAAGGTCATAGTATTTAAACCAAATACGTAGATTCAAGCTGCAAAATTCGAGTCCAACAACTCCACATCATAAACAATGAACTGAAAACTTCACACAACTCAATTTACAGAGAAAATCTGAGCGAGGGGGAATAAAAAGGGGATGAAAACCTAGGTATAGTAAGAGAATCAGGCATAAAAAGATTGACAATGATAGGATACCATCATCTAAAAAGAGACAACAAATTCTATTATTGCAAATCAAAAACATGAGGACAAAATCTTGTCCTTTTCTGCATTTGAAAAACACCTTATTCAAAACAACGTATAAACTGCAGCAAATAAATATGCTTCAGAACTGCATTGTACTTCAAACACTAAATTTACATGACAGACGTATTTGAGAAAGGAGATCCAACATGCAACACTTAATTCTGATATTAAACCTTTATTTTTGGAAATATCCCCTCAGTAATCTGCTGGCTAAAGCTGATGGAACCAAAACCGAAGTTATATGTATGAGCAACACCCAGGATTTATATATATATTTCATGCACTGACTAAGGATTTAGTGATATTACCTAGGAGTGAACCGCCATTTCAGGAACAATTAATGGCCTCAATTTACAGGCAATGGAACCAAAAAACCCTGATTCAAAGATTCTTAAGAGTATTTGTCAGCATGCCCCATTTACACTCACTAGAACAAAAAAGCATGCGGGAAGAATTTGATCAGCCTGAATAATAATAATAATAATAATAATAATAATAATAATAATAATTTGATGCATATTTTAAATTGCTATGTGATGCTAAATCCAAAGTGCTTTCGGATTTCCAACTTGATTTGAAATATGGGTGATGCAGAAGCATACAAATTGATAAGGAACAATAAGAAATAAGGGGGAACAATAAGAACATTATCAAAATAAAACTACTAAATAAACTCGAATTCTACTAATTATTAGTCTTTCGCCTTGAATAGACTTTTAATGACATCCTTGTTGCATCAATGGGGTGGCAAGAAATAAGGGTTTTAACAAGACCATCAAGGAGAGGAAAAGTTGATCATGACTTGCTTAGAAACCTCAGCCATATAATTTGTAAAGCAAAACAAGCAAAAACTCAAATCTCAATAGTTTTCCTATAAGCATTGTCCACTTCGTGTCAATCTGTCTGCACACGGAGAAAGATCAAGTTCCTAAGGCATTTTATACGAGAAGACCTAAAAAAGTCTACAATCTAGATTTATATAGCTATGCTAGAGAGGGGGAACCACCAATGCAAATGTAGGCACAAGTTAACATCGAATAATTTTCCCTTCACACCACCCCATGAGAAATGATCAATCTCCACCTGAACTCCCCCAAAACAAAAAACAAGACTGCAGAAACAGAAATGAACAAGAAAAAGCCAAACGAAAATCTTACACCCTTGTTCCATTAATATCCATTATCTTTGACCACAAGGATTTCCACAAGCAGATGAAGAAGCACAGAAGAAAACTGGATATTCTGTACATAAGAGTCAAGATCACATTCCGAGCAACTGAAAATTTTAAAAATAAATAAAATAAAAAATAAAGAGCAAACATGTAAAGATATTGCTTCACCATCATCCTGAAAACCATTTAGAAGTTTCCAAGAAACAAAGATAACCTCTGCTCTCTGAAGTTTCCTCCGAAATGTGGGAAAAATTAACCAGAATCAAGGAGCGGGAAAAGTTTATCAAAGTTCATGACCACATAGAAGGCATCACAAAATCCTTTATAATTTGTCACTCCTCCAATCGTTTCCTCCAAAATATTATCTGCATATTAAAATATACTTTATAAACCACGGTAAACAATAACTAGATTTCGCTTGATAACTGCCTTATACTACAAACAGCTTGCAAAATATACAAATTTGTGATACTAACAAAAGTGCAACATTTAATTCTGATTGTAAACCTTTAGTCTTGAAAATATCCCTAGAAAAATAAGAGACCGCCTAATGGAAAACTAATGGAACCAGAACCAAAGTCATCTGTAATTCTGTATGAGCAAAAACTGATGGAATCAGAACCAAAAGTCATCTGTAATTCTGTATGAGCAATCGCCCAGAATTTATATACTTGTAAATTTATTTCCTGCAAGTAACTCACCATAAGGATTTAGTATATTGCATTAACTTGAGAAGCAAATAACCCCATTTCTGGAACAACTTCATCAGACTATTTTAAATACCCACACTTAATCCAGTAACAGAAACCAATTCAAAAAAGCCAAAATGTTAGGGAAGCCACACGAAAACACCAAAAAATATTCAGCAGCGCAAGGTATAAAAACCCCACATAACATGTAAAAAGGGGCTAAAAAACATCAGAACAATCCAAGATGCAACTAATCAGTATCAAGAAAGTACCAGAATATGCCAAAGTCCCAGTCCTTCAGAAGATTCTTGGTATAGTTGTCCATATGTATGCATCATGTCAAGAAATGAGTATATGTTAGGATTATGGAAATAAATAAGATATTCAAAGTTTTTGTTAAGATAGGAGAGTCTTGAGGGGTTCTACCAAACCATTAAAATTTCACAGCTTAATCCACAAGTTGAAATTACCAAATGCCTAAGTCTCCTTCAGAAGATTCTTGGTATAGTTGTCCATATGTATCTATCATCATGTCAAGAAATGAGTATATGTTAGGATTATGGAAATAAATAAGATATTCAAAGTTTTTGTTAAGATAGGAGAGTCTTGAGGGGTTCTATCAAACCATTAAAATTTCACAGCTTAATCCACAAGTTGAAATTACCAAATGACAGCCACCCTGATACCAAAACCAATATCTGTTGAACCAAGGAAGAAATGCCCGCAATATGAAGGAAAAGGTGCTAAAAGCACCGAAATCACAAAAAAGATCCTAGATTAAGATAACCAGTATCAAGAAAATACCAGTACACCAGATCTCAGGGCACCAAAACTCAACCCTTCCAAAGATTCTTGTAATAATTGTTATATCTAATCATCATAACAGGACGTTTAGCATTCAAGAAATAAACGAGAAATAAAAGTACTTGCAAAGATATGAGAATCTAAGGGGGGCCCAAACTCCATCATACATAAAATTTCCACACTCAATCCAGTAATCGAAATCAGTTCAAATTACCAAAACATTGAACGCTCAACAGTACCAAAAGCAAAAATCCGCAAAGGAAGAAAGAAATACCCACAAAATCATGCCAAACGGGCTAAAACCACCAAAGAATTATGAGAAAGATCAAAGATTAAAATATTCAATATCTAGAAAATTCCAGAATACCACTTAAGAGACCAGGTAATCGCACCAAAAACCTTCTCTTCCAGAGAATAATTTTTAGTATGTCGATCATCAAAAAATCAGCGGATAAACAAGAAATCAGAAGTTTGAGCAAAAACACGATCTATTAGGTAGAAAACTTTTCATTAAACAATTAAAAAATTTCCCATTCTAATTTAGTGAAATCAATTCAAATTACCTACAGTTGGGATGGCCACCAAAACGCCAAGAGCAGAACCAAGGAAGAAAAAACCCACAAAAGAAGGAAAATAACGGAATCGTCATAATGGTCTAAAAAGATCAGATTCAAAAAATTAATTAATATCAAGAAAATATCAGATACAGCAATCGCACCAAACATTCAATCCTTCACAAGATTCTTGGATTAATTGTGGATATATCAATCATTGTATCAAGGAAACCCAATGTCTAAACATTAGGATTCAGGAGATAAACAAATAGTCAGAAGTTCTCGAAAACGTCCGAGAATTCAAAGAAGAAAACAACTCCAAAAACCATTAAAATACCCTAGTAAAAGTACCTAGAGAAACTATGAGAAAACCAAGATGCCATTACCGCAAGGAGTCGACCGTCGTATTTATGGATGATGAGAGGGGGGTAGACGGTTAGGATTAATTTACCGTTGTGATACACGGTCAAAAACGCGTTCTATTCCGAGTAGAGTTGGGACTTCCAATTTGTGCAAGAAGTAAGAATTTTAAACGATTTCTTGTATTAGTAATGATAATTTTTCGTGGATCATTTCCGTATGGGATAAATATACATGTACAAGCACTTTGGCAGATCATTTGGGGGGTTTTTGAACCCTGATCAGTTTGAGGTACAATTCGTGATCTACCTAATTTGCGTGAAGAGGGGCTGGATTACCCATGATTAGTCGCTATAAGA